CGTAACACTACGTGTGGAGTCCTGATGTAATATTTTTTCGTATTATTATTAGGATGAAATGAAAAAAAAAAATTCTTTGATTAGTTGAAGAAAGTTTAGCATAAATGGTTTTATACAGGGTGTAAATGAGTTGCATATAAATAAATGATTTTTTTTATTCGAATTCAATTTAATTATTTGGGTGTGAGATTTGTAAATATGAAAGTTTTGGGTGCTATGTATGTAAAAACCTTTTTTTTTTCACTCTGTTTTTGTTCAGTTAGGCTAATTGATACATGCATATCACATAATTCTTATTTATTTACATATCAAAAACCTAATCTTTTATATTTACATGTATGGCTCTGAAATCCTTAATATCACATAAAAAATGCGCTATTATTTACTTTATAAAAGTAAAATACATCTTAACATGTATGGGTAAATGGCAACGAAATGTTTGAAATGTAAATATGAAAGTTTAGGTATTAGATATGTATATAAATACGTAATGAAGCGTGTTCATTCTGTATGGAGAATCCACGTCTGATCGTAGATTATTCGTGCATGAAAATTTTGAATATCTGTGTAATAACAATAAAGCAAAAACTTTTCTACTATAATTTCTATCCATTAATCAGTATTCAATAGGTGTATAGTTATTAATGTATTTATAATTTGTTAATAATAATTTTGATTTGTTTATATCTATATGTCTCTTTCATTTCAATATTAGTGATGTCTTAACTTTGGCCTACATTGTGAGGGTGGGTGGTGGGGCTGCAATTTATATTAGCCCTTTATTATCATAGTGAAAGTGACAACATCTTGGCTTTGCAATGTATTGGCCACCAATACTAGTTTAGTGCTCGTGATTTTCTTGTAACTTCACACACACACACACACACACACACACACATACATACATACATACATATATTTATTGGCATATGATATTAATAATTATGGTATAAATAAATCATAAGATAAATGGTTGCAATTATTGGCATATGATATTAATAAATATGGTATAAATAAATCATAAGATAAATGGTTGCAAGAATAATATTAAATTTATTGCATGGAAAATGAACTCCTCAAGAAGTTATCTATGTACTTTATTTTAGTCAATTGTCGAGGTGCTCATACTATATATCCCTTGCCTCTCCATCTATATCGATATGCATATGTACTCAAAACAATGAATATCTGATGAACATTTCTTATCATCCCATCACCATAAAATGTCTTTAAATGTCATCTTGACATGCATCATTATGTTAAATATAATATTATTTTGTTTTTTTTTTATTTTTGTAGATTAATGTTGAGTTCTAAAACCCTCCATTATACCAATCCTATTTATATTGCATTATTGATCTCAAAAAGTGTCAACGTTACCATCATAATCTCTTGACCCAAGGAAAATATGTTGAGATTTTCATACCTATTTTATACTGTTTTTAATGATATTGCACTTTAAAGAAAGATATTTTTGATGTTTTGTTGCAGGAATGATGAATTAGGGTCATTGGAGCAAAAA